TAAATTTTAATTTTTTTTTTGCAGGTGATAAGTGTAGTTTCTACACTTATTCGAAACCATAAATGATGATACTTTATTATTTTTTGGATAAAATTCTACTTAATTTATGTTCTATTGCATTTTGTATGTAAAACTTTATATTTGATGAAAAATTAGAGAAAAGAATCTAATTTTCCGAGGATTTTATCTTCAGTGTTGTAACATCGGCGTATCAACTATCAAGTGAGCAATTGTTATGTTTTAGTATCGGGCAGATTTGGACAGAAAAATGGACACACCATACTATTCGTTAATATTGTGAAATACTATTAAATGCAGTTTATAAAAGATTCAATTATTGTTTAGAATAATGAAGATTTGCTATAACCATCATGTGGGAGTGTATACGTCAGAAGATCCATTCACATGTAATTTGACTTTCTTGAGTTCTTAATTTATTGATGTATAATTTATTTCAGGTAGAAGGTGCTTGGAATGTAGGTGGTAAAGGCTGGAATAATTGGGATTATATGACAGAGAAATTTCCTGGTCTCTTCATTCTCTCTCTTTCTAGTCTTGTATGTTTAAAAACAGTAAATATAAAATATAAATTAACATATAAGAGCTCAGCTACTTCTATTTATAACGTTGTCCATTTGAGGTGAAATCTCTATTCTTAATATCATATCATCGTCCAACAAACTCAAACAACTAACTCTATCCATCTCAAACTCTTGAACTAGCTTTTGGATTCAAGGATTGATGTTTTTAACGAGTCACTATAGTGCGAAGGCATGTCAAGTATATAATCTCATATGAGTTAAATGTATCAATCAACAAATGAAGGTTTGTGACACCTTTTCGACTGGAGTTTTCATTTTAAGATAAAACCCCAAATCTCAATAATGGACACAAACATGTATTAATTCACACACGCACATGTACATGTACTTGTGACAGAAGATCATTGGGTGCGTATATTTATCTTTATTCATTGGATTGGCAGAGAGCATTGCGGATCGTTCAAATGGAAAAGTGGCAATCGATCACTATAACATGTTCAAGGTAAATTCACTAAGCTATAACATGTATCAAAATTCCATATCAGTTCAAGCATTAACGGAGGCAGTCATCTAATCCCTCATATTTAATTAAGGTCCGAATTTATAAGAACTTTAACAATTTTACCACTGTTCTACTAATTAATATCAAAATAAAGACTCATCGTTTCCAGGAAAACCTTCCACCAGTCCACCAGAGTTCTTTTTTTTTTGCTCATCTTTTTTCAATATTTAAGTAAGTGAAAAAAACAATTACTGCAAAAAACAATTAAATAACTCTTTTGATCCATTACTGCAAAAAACAATGCTCGTTGCCATTATTGAAACATGACTATTATTTGGAAAATAGCATTCAAAATGAGTTGATACTTTGCTCGTGCTGAAGTCGAAAAGTTAAATTTTGAAAAAAGTGGAAGAACCAAATTTTTTTTCCATTATAATTGATAGTACTCTAATTTAAGCCACCAAGAATAATGTATTTGAATGTATATTGTATACTATCGATTGTGTTGCAGGAAGATGTGGCTTTGATAAAGGAAGTTGGCTTGGATTCTTATAGATTAATTAACTCTTTTGATCCATTACTGCAAAAAACAATTATAGTTGCTATTATTGAAGCACGACTATTTTTTAAAATGGGTTGATGCTTTGTTGGCGCCTGAAGTCAAAAGGTTCAATTTTGAAAAAGTGGAAGAAACAAAAAAAAAATCCATTATAATTGATTGTACTTTAAGAATAATGTATTTGAATTTATATTGTACTCACTGTCAATAGTGTTGCAGGAAGATGTGGCTTTGATGAAGGAAGTTGGTTTGGATTCTTATAGATTTTCAATTTCGTGGTCCAGAATCTTACCAGGTACTGGATTGTGCTTAAATAATTTCAGAAAACAGAATTTTTATTTTTATTTTTTTTTCAATAATGAAACGTCAAAGATGTAGTGTTTGTGCATTATTTTAGCTAAAGTGATGTTTTCTGCTTAAAATTCCTTAAATGACTATAGAGGGCTAGGCAACCTTGCCCAGTTTTCAAGTCGAACTCGGAGAAAAGGAGGAGAAAAATGTAGTAAAACTTTTGCCAAGAAAATAGTTTGAATAATAGAAGTTATTTAGAAAACCAGAAATATGACCTCACCAAGCAATTTCCTCAATTTTAGCAAAGGTTCCTCGATTTTATTTTAATACGTGTACAAATTTATATTGATATTTAGGTGGTAGAATATGTGATGGCATAAGCAAAGAAGGAATCCAATTCTATAATGATCTCATAGACGCACTTTTGGATGGAGGTTAGACTTCTTTGAATTCATGTGTTTATTGTGCCTATAAGAAACTGATTTTTATTTTTATTTAATTAGTACATGATTGGAAGTTCAAGATTGATATGCTTTTGAAATCATTTCTTTTTCTTCTAAATTAAAATATACAATTTAAAGATATTATGTACCTTGATTTCACTCCAATATTACTTTTGCGTAGGCATTAAACCATGTGCAACTATCTTCCATTGGGATGTTCCCCAACGTTTGGAAGTTGAATATGGCGGCTTCTTAAATCATCAAATTGTGTAAGTAACAGATCTTGCGTCGCAGGGAACATCGTGTGCTAGATGTTTAACAAAGTAATTAAACAAAGTTATTTTCTCAAACTATATATTGAAGGAAAAGGCAGAAATCTTTTCTTCAAAGAAAATGGATAATAATAAGCAGATTGATCTCTTGTGCAAATATAAACGTCATAAGTGAATTTATTTATTTATTTTTTACCATCTATGGGTATAATACAGACATATATGTTGATCTTTAACTTGTTTCATATTTCCATAATAGGGAACATTTTTGTGAGTTTGCTGAGATATGCTTTTGGGAATTCGGCGATCGAGTGAAATATTGGGTCACACTCAATGAGCCTTGGTCCTTTACTTTTTGCGGATATGTTATAGCAAGGTTTCCCCCTCGTCGAGGTTATAATCTTGCAACATCGTTGGAACGAGTGTTGCGTTCCTCAATCCTTCATCATAGAAGTGCAATCACTATTCGTCCGCGTACTTCATCAACAGGACGTATGACCAGAGCCCTAGTTGGCATGGCACATGATTTGCCTTACGATACTTCCTCTGAAAGAGATCCGATCGCAGAAATAGTTGATATGGCATACAATTTGCCTTACGATACTTCCCCTGAAGGAGATGCAGTGAGAGAACTAATTGCTCAGGCATACAATTTGCCTTACAGTCCATCCTCTGAAGGATATGCAAATGATGGTGCTATGGCGTACGATTATTTTAACCGTACTTCCTTTGAAGGATATCCAGTCGGAGAAGGATATACTTCCTCTGAAGGACGTTCAGTCAGAGAAGTTTCTGAGCCACATAATTTGCCTAGCCGTACCTCCTCGAAGGCAGAACGGGTCAGAGTATCTTCTATGGCACAAAATTTGCATCACCTTACTTCCTCGAAGGGAGATCGAGTCAGAGTATCTTCTATGACACACGTGCCTCGCCTTAGTTTCTCGGAAGGAGATCCCGGAACAGAACCATATATAGTGGCACACAATTTGATCCTTGCTCATGCACATGCGGTTAATATATACCGGAAATATTTTCAGGTTTTTATTTTAACATTTCACACACATACAAAAATAAATACGTAAATACCCTTTTTAGATTTTACAATATTTTATTGATTATAAATATTAATACATCTGTACATACAGAAACACCAACAAGGCAAAATAGGGATGACAAACGTTTCAATCTGGTATGCTCCATTTAAGGAAGACAACCCAGAGGATGTCGAGGCTGCTTCGAGAGCGATCGATTTTTTGTTAGGATGGTAAATGGTGCTTGGTTATCATTACCAAGAGCGATTTCTCTGCATCTCTATAAATTCTTTAATTAAATTGGAATCCATTATCGAAAATCTCTTTTCTTCTATTCTTTTTGTCCTTTAACATGTTTATGCATTTTTGTTGTTTGTATATTTTATAAACTGTGCCTTTTGAGATATAATAATTTCTCCTGTTCAGGTTTGTAGCCCCTGTAATAACGGGTGATTATCCACCATCCATGAGAAACAATGTACGAAAACGTCTTCCCAAATTTAAACCAGACGAGTTGGCGCTAGTGAAAGGTTCCTGTGACTTCTTAGGCATAAATTATTACACAGCTCGTTATGCCCAAAATGTACCTCGAGAGACTTCCATAACACATTTTCAGAATGATCTGCATGTTGTAGAACAGAGTAAGTACTGAGACATTTTCTCGAGTTCAGTTATAATCTTTTACCTAGACAAAAAATGGACACTACTTCTAACAAGATGTTTACTTCTCATTCTTTTGTAGCTCATCGCAATGGCAAGCCAATTGGTAACCTGGTGAGTCATTAACAGTACCCTCCCTGAGAAATAGAAAATAGAAAATGGAATGGATTATTCTAACAATTTAGGCATATCAACAATTTATTGTGAAACATGATAGTGTCATAGACTCTTGATATACGAGCACAATGAACTAAAGTAGATATAATGGCTTACATAATTTCCGATGCTTACATATAATCTAATGTAATTACAAGTCTTTTTTACTTCGTGTCAGGGTGGTTCAAGTTGGTTGTACATATTTCCAGAAGGAATTTACAATATGATGCTTTATCTGAAGGAAAGATATAATAATCCTGAGATTATTATTACAGAGAATGGTATATAGTTTGGTTATTTATATCTATATAACAAGAATATACATTACAAATACTAAAATTTTGAAGCATTTAGTAATTTGTTGAATTCTTCTATAATCTTTTGTAGGGGTGGATGAATTGAAAAACAATAATCTAACAATTTCACAGGCTTGTAACGATGAAACAAGGGTTCAATATTTCAAGGACCATCTTGCATATCTTAGAAAGGCAATGGAGTAAGTCATCATTTTTTTTATATATATTGTAGTTAAATTCAAAGAAAAATTGTAAATTTTGAAATTAATCGATTATTCATTTGTTTTCAGTTCTGGTGTACGTTTGAAGGGTTACTTCATATGGTCATTTTTTGATAATTTTGAATGGACCCAAGGGTACAATGTTAGATTTGGAGTTTATCATGTAGACTTCATGAATGAAAAATTGAAGAGATCCTCTAAAAGATCAGCTGAGTGGTGGATGAGATTCCTGAACGAAAAAAACCAAGGAAGCTAAAGGATGTCAAGCCTGAGGAATAATGACAATTACAGCTTACTTTAATTTATTTAGAAATTTTATGTTGAATAATGCAAGCATGGATGCATGCTTGACGTACCTTTCATTTCGTCCTTTATTCTCTTATGGGCAAAGAAATAAAGTAATGTTGTACCTTGTAGTAATTATATTCAAATAAATGGAACCCTTCGAGGGTCCAAGTGTAATCTCGTGTTTTCGCAATAATGGATCTTGAACTTTCACATTTGGTTAGCATCATTCTGAACTGTTATAAATGTAGTAGGAAAGAACTTGTTGGATGGATTCCATCTAAACTATCAACGAATAGACGCAAACATCCACATTTGAAGGGTAAACTTTTTATTAGGTTTATATCTAGTCTAGCGTAACCTAGAAGGGGTTTGAATATATTGATTGTATAATATAACTCATAAGAGTATTTTACACATTTATCTAGGCTCTCAAAATTACTTAAAAGGTTATTTTGATAGAATTTTCCTTATTTTTTTTCTAGGTAAAAACCCCGACATGGAGATTAATCGTACGAAAGGAATAGGTGTGTGTTTGGTAGGGATTTTTGGGGGGAAGAATTGATTTTGAATAGTGATATGATGGGAAATGTGTGGTTGAAAAAGAAGAAAAAATTATTGATGTGATAGAAAATATTATTTTATTGAAGAATGTGTGGTTGAAAATGAGAATTGATTTACTNGTGTGGTTAAAAATGAGAATTGATTTATTGTTGAAAATGAGAATTGGTACCAAACATAGCCTAGATTTAGAATTTAATTGGAGCAAGTATGGTGGATTTGAATAACTACCGGGAAGTTGAGGACTTGGTTGGAAGCTTTGAATAGTTAATTTTATAATTTACAAGTTTTGGGAATCATATTTGGCATTTGGAAAGTGTGGGGATCAAAGTGTACGCAATAAGAACATTTGGGATCAACTTGAATATTTTCAGAACTTGAAGGACCAAAATTGAAGAGAATCCAAAATTGGAGGACAAATTTGATCATATTAGAAGTTCAGGTCTGAAATGAACAAATTTAAAAGTTAAAGGAGTAAATTGGATTAAATTGAAAACTTGAGGACATAAAGTCCCTGTTGGTCGCTGTTTGTAAACCACAATTTTTTTTGACTTAGTTTGGGACTTTTATTTATTGACTTAAAAGTGTGAATCAAAGCAAATCAAAAGAACAAACCACAACTTAAATACAATCGATTTTTTTTAAAGTGTGGTTAGCATCAATCTGTGTACAGTAGTGTCACATTGTCCAAAAAGGTAAGATGCATTAGATAATGTAGAATTGATTTGAGTGGTGAAATAAAAACTTCTCATTACTGATATGAAGAGAGAATCGTAAGCATGGTTCTCCAAATATATAATTGTTTCAGAGAACCATAAGAAAGATTATCTTGTCACGTTAGAAGTAGTGAAATTTTTTTATCCTACTCCGTAAGCCTTAGTGCCACCCAACATTATTATTAATTTACGATTTGATTAATCTGTATTTATTAAATAACTGGAAAGAAGAGAATCCAAACAACATCGAGTCATATCCACCTATAGTATTTTCGATGGTGGACTATATCGTTTAGCTTTGTTTAAAAAAATAATTGTTTCCTCATTCAATTTAAATTTAGATAATTGAATTTTGAAAATAGGGAACCATTTTTAAAATAAAATTAGTCGTTGACGTGAAATTCAAAATAGTAAGTCCGATTAAAATTGAGCTTCCTAACTACCTAAATACAATTTTATTTAATAAAATGAAACATTTAATTCTTTTCCGTTAAAAAAATTATTTTTAATAATCTATCATCTTTATCAAAATAAAAAGGGAACAATACATTTATAAGGTATTTACTTTACACCTTTTCAAAAATACAAAAACAAGTTTGAAAATTCACAAATCAGGTTTTTTTAATTTTTAATTAATAATTAATGAATTACTAAATCAATTTATTATTAAATATTTAATTCTAATTTAATATAATTACCCCACCCCACCTCCACCATCCCAACCAACATTCCGATCACCACTCTTCTCCGGCGACTATTCCGGTGACCGTTCCGACGATTGGTCCGATTCCGGCGAATATGTTAAGGTCACAGATCTACAATTTTGTCATAATTCAAAATTTTCATATGTCACAATTTGTTTATCGGTCACAACTTAAGAATTTTAAAGTCACAATTTTTTCATCGGTCACAAATCACAAAATTTGTAAGTCACAATACTTATTTACGGTCACAAACATCCCATTAATTGAACATAGGTCACAATTTATCAAATAATTGGTCACAAATTAATAATTCGTAGGTCACACGACATGTATTAGTCATAGTTATCTAATTCACGGGTCACAATCCAACGAAATTATTGGTCACAGACAACAAAATCATTTGTGACCACCACTAAATTATTTGTGACCGCCAATTCAACACTGCCTCCATCAGCGGCACAACCACCGTCGCCGCATCTCCACCACCGTTGCCCACAGAAACACAACTAAACTGCATTATC